ACGGCACATAACAACAACAACAACCCAAAATGGGGCGGGGGGGGCGGGGCGGTGGTATATAAAGGTAAGAAGTGACTGGCTTACACGCTTTCAAGAGGGAGCCTAGTTCCAGACAGGGTGGGGGAAGGTAGAATCATCACTGAAAGATTTCCAATCCATTGGGACCGGGCTAGCGAAAAGAAATAGGGCTAAGACTTTTGTGTTAAAACAGTGAATAATTGCCATCAGGACTGACTGTGAGACTAGGAAATGTAGATTTTTTTTGACAAAAGGAGGAGAGTGATTGATTTTGCAGCCCAAGAGTGGAGGTCCCTGGGACTATCAAGTGAGAAGAGCAAAGAGCTGGGACCCTACCTAGAGAGAGGCAGTGACACCAGGGATGGAGACAGAGACAAAAACAACAACATAGACAGATGGAGCAACTGGGACACTGGTCTCGGGAGGGAGAAGGACTGTGTTCTGGCAGCGGTGAGGGGAGAGGGGGGCGGGACTGTGTGGGCCCTTTGGGGTTATTTGATGATGCATGGAGGGGATTGTACTCATTGCAATGAAACGAAATATGATAGGATGAGTGTAAAGCTGATGTTCTCCCATGTAAACCTCACGATAAAAACTTTTAAAAAAAGGAAGAAAGCCAGGCATCTTAACATCATTTCCCCACTTTTACCCATTCAAACCATGAGTCAGTCTTTGTATCCAGGAATACTGCTTATGTGCTTGCCTTTGTAGGTAACACTTCTCTTTCCCCTGACTGCTTTTAAGATTCTCTCCTTGTCTTTGATTTTGGAAAGCTTGATTATGATATGTCTTGGTGATTTTCTTTTGGGGTCTATCCTTCCTGGGGTTTGTTCAGCTTCTTGAATGTTTATCTTCTCATCCTTCAAGATGTTAGGAAATTTTTCTTCCAGAAGCTCTTCAAGTATCTCTTTTGTGAACTTCTGTGATTCTTTCTGTTCTGGGATGCCAATAATTCTTAAATTATTCCCCTTCATGTTATTCTGCATGAATCTTAGACTCTCTTAAGATTTTTTAATCCTTTTTTCTGCGTACTCTCCAACCTTGCAGTATTGAGAGATTTGTCTTCCAACCCGCTGGTTCTGGCTTCCATCTCTTCCATTCTACTCCTTTGCCCCTTTCAGTGTATTGTCCATTTCTGATATTTTATTATTAATGATCTGGAATACTCTTTGCAGGTTTTGGATTGTTTCCAATGCTGTATCTATCTTGTTTGATTGCTCCTGTAACACTTTCCTGACTACTTCTTTATTTTCCTCCACCCCTTTTCGGAGTATGTCAATATGTTTCCATATCATTCTTCTGAATTCCTTCTCAGGCAGATCCAGAGCCTACATTTCTGCTGGAAAGTCTGTCTGCTTCTAGCTCATTTGTCTCAGTTAGTTTTTTCTGTTTTGGGACATGTGATGAGATCTTTGATTGTGTTTTCTTGGACATTTTCAGCAGTTATATGTGTTTTTAATGCTTAAATTGATGTATGTTGCTTTGTTGGTAAGCTTGCTGAGCATCTCGTGGTAGATATGATCTAGAGATAGGTTTCCCTTTTCATGTGTAATGCCTAGCAGCTGGTTTTGGCTCTTGTCCAGATGGTAGGGTATTACAGGGTATGCTTGTAGCTTGGCTATATGGGCACAGTTGTCTCTTCTTGGGTAAGGTAGGGGGAAAAAACTCTAACCCTTGTGAGAAGAGTGAGGCCAAAAGGACCAAAGACAGAAATAATATAAAAGCAGAGACAGAAACCACCAATCAAAAACAAAAATAAAATTGTGATTGACACTGCCTACTGGCCTTTGCTGTGAAGGCAGGGATAACCCAAGTCAACTTTGGGGCTGGGTTCCAGAGTCAAGACATCAGAAAAAGCAGCCTCCGGGTTTCCTCTCTGTGCTGTGGGAAAACAGTGGGTACAATGCTGGACCCTTTTGGGGGTGTGCTCCCACCCTTCTAAAGGCTTCTGGGCTGGGCAGTGAGGGCACAATGGAATGAAGAGGAAAGAAACGTGAAAAATGAAAAATCGGTCACACCTCACGCTCCAGACTTACAGCTCCATAGTTTCTATTGCTGGGTCACTGCCTCGGCTTGGCTGTGGCCCTGCCCTCATGCCTGAGGACTTCTGGCTGCCAGCTGCAGTGGCTGAATCAATTCAGAAATTACCATATTTTGCTTCCACAGACAGATTTCACAGGTGGGCACAGGAGACTGGTGCCCAGAACCTTAAACAAAGCTCCGGAGCTGTTCTGCGAACCATTCTTTCTTCTTTTTTTCTTTTTTTTTTTTTTTGGTTTTAGCTGAGTAACTTTCAGTATCTGTCTCTGCTTACCTGCCCCCAAGTCAGAAGTCCACTCTAATTTACTTTTGAATATTAATACATTTATTCTTAACAGTGATAGCTGAAAATATGTGGGACCCTTTTTCTACAACACAGACGTCAAGAATGGTTGGAATTACACTAAAATTAATAAATGGATATTCTTCAGTAGTGAATGCAGAAAATAAAAATACACAAGTAAGTTTTATCTTTGGAGAGCTTTTTTTTTTTTTTTTTATCCTTTTGAAAATGAACAAAAGTTGAGAATAAGTGGTTATATTATAAACTGATATTCACACTTATGCCAGAATTTTAAGGATCCTAGTCCTGTGTAGTACTACTGAAAACATATTTCCTAAATTTGCCAAAATTTGAGAGATTCGTTTTCAATGTTAAAACACTATATCCTGGTGTGGCACTATAGAAGCATTTGACTGCTACCTGCAAGTTAGGCAGTTCCATCCCACTAGTCACTTGGAAGCTGTATATAAATATAAGGTCACTGTGACTCAGAAGTGTATCAGTGACACTTAACAACAACAAATGGATGTAAGATGCTAGTAGTCTAGAGAGCTGTACTCTGGTTTATATCATTTGGAATGTGGTTTATTTTTATCTTATGAATGTTAACTTTTATCATAGCTCTTATTAAAATGTGTCATCTTCTTTCAATTCTCTAGGTTTACTTAAAAGCACTTTTGTTGAGAATGAGAAGAACTTTAGATGATGATGTATTTATGCCCTTATATCCCAAAAAGTAAGTAGTTCCTAAGAACATTAAAGATAATTATCTCCATTGCTTTCCAGAGAAAGGTTTTTTAAGTTCTAGAAAATTAAAGGTAGTTTGAAATATAAACTTAGTGTAAACCAGGGAGTCCTGCTGTGGCGCTGTAGGTTAATGTACTGGATTGGAAAGTCGGTTGGAACCAGCTGCTCCTCGGAAACCATATACAAGGTCGCTGTGAGTCAGAACCACCTCAGCGGCAATTAACAACAACAGCATAAGCTGGTTTCCTAATGACATTGACACCATGGGGAAATTGTTCGCTTAAGCAGGCCTGGTGTGGTGCCTTAGGATAAGCAATCAACCTCGGTCCATTAGAGCCGCAAGGTTGGCAGTTCAAACTCACCAGCTGCTCCTTTGAAACCCTATTCAGGGTCCATTATAATTTGGAATCAACTTGACCATACTTAGCAACAATAATAAGCAGAAGTAAGCAAATAGTCTTTTTGTCACTCAGTATCTAAAAATAAATTTTCATCAATTTAACTTACTAACTTCCAGAATATGTTTGAAACTTTAAAAATCATTTGATTCCTTTGTTTTACTTATTTGCTTGTAAAAATATTTTCTTGCAGGAATTATATAGTACTGATATATAAAATAACTGATAATGGTGTTTTTCTTATTATAGTGTCTTAGAGAATAAAAATTCTGGGCCATATTTGTTTTTCCAGCGACAGTTTTGGTCTTCGGTTAAGGTAAGTGTCATAGTTACCTAAAATACAACATTTCATTTGACTTTCTATATGATATTTTGAAAAGTATTTTTGTAATTGATGAAGTAATGTTATAGACTTAGATTACTTATCTTTACAAAGTCTCTATTTTACAAAATAATTTTATTTCAAACTAGTTTTAATTCCAGTCTGAATTTGCCATAGGAGAAAGCCATAATGTTTTCAACAAATAGAATGCCCAGTTATGCTTCTAAATTTTGGAGATAAAACATCAATGAATAGGGAGCCCTAGTGGTGGTGTAGAGTAAGCATTGGACTGCTAACTATAAGCTCAGCAGTTAACACCCACCAACCATTCTGCAGAAGAAAGATGAGGCTTTCTCCTCCCATAAAGATTCACAGTCTTGGAAACCCTAGACGGGGTTGCTATGAGTTGGAATTAATTCAATAGCAGTGGTTTTTGGTTTGACTAAGATAGAGGTGGCGACTTTGTGGAGCTTCCAGTCCAGCACGGCTTACGGATGGTGAACAATTCATCACAGGTGTGATGAGTTATTAAAAAGGAAATTTAAGATCATAATACATGTGGCAATGGATACAAAATCCCCTTCCACCCTGAGGAACCCTGCTTAAGAAAGGCTACAACAGAACTACACTCACGATCACATAAGTGACTTAAGGGTCCAGAAAGAGACAATGGCAGCATATATATTAGAGCAGTGAGAACTGAAAGAAATGGGCAAACCGGAAGGAGGTAAAGTCAGAGGATTTGAGGGGAAGGTCAAGCATAACACCTAGATTTCTAGTCTGAGCAATTGGTTGGATAGTGCAACCATTTGCTGACTTGAGAAACAAGGAAAACTTGAAATTTTTATGGTTAGATGAGGGTTAGTAAGTGTTAACATCTTTCATTTTATACTAAGCTTGAGTAACTTGAGAAGTCTGCCTGCTATAACAGGCTTAGTCCAGGTTCCTGATCACCTGGTAGCCCAGAAGTTATCTAAAAATTAGCCCTGCCCTAAAGGAGCTCTGGTAGTGTGATGATTACAATTTGGGCTGCTAACCTTCAGGCCAGCAGTTTGAGACTACCAGCTATTCCATGTTACCATAAAGATTTACAGACTCAGAAACCCTATACAGGGTTGCTCTGAGTCAGAACCGACTCCATGGCACACCACCAGCACCATAATATTTTCTGTGACATTCTTTATCTGTGCTGTATTTTCACTGGTTAAAATTTCCAATTCAGATCCTCAGTCATATTCAGAAATACTTAAACCCTTTAAGGGAGTTTATTTCACTAAGACAATGTCAACTCTCAGATCAAGTGGTATCTTACTGTGTAGCTAATTTACTTTGTGCCTGATTTGTTTAACATTGCCTCAATTTTTTCCCCCTCTTTTTAGCTATTAGGGAATTTTCTTCAGTGGTATGGCATTTTCTCAAATAAAACTCTACAGGAATTATCGATAGACGGTTTACTTAATAGATACATTCTCATGGCTTTTCAGAATTCAGAATATGGAGATGACAGCATCAAAAAAGCCCAAAATGTGAGTTAATGTTATGACACATTCTTGATCACTGGGAGTTGGTATAAGGTTGACTATCCATTTCACAAGATTAGTTTGAACCATAAGGTTGGCGGCTCAAGCTCACCAGCCGCTCCTTGGAATCGAAACTAGCTCAATAGCACTTAACAACAAAAATAAATTATTTACATGGTTCAACATAACCATCAACATCAGAAAATCAGAATTGATACATTACTATCATCCAATCCTCAAGTTTTGTCCATTATCTCAATTATAGTCATCGTTGGCAGAAGAAAATCCCAAATTATGCATTGCATTTAGTTGTCAGGTCTCGTTAAAGTGTCTAAATTTGGAAACATTGTTCAGTCTTGACTGTTTACAACCTTGACACTTTCCAAGATGATCAGGCCAGTTAATTTGTAGAGTTTCCTTCATTTTGGGGGGAGCATTTTCTTGTTTTCTGACTTAAAATGTTTCTACCTCATCTCCTATGCTGTCCTAGAAGTTGTCATTTCTGCAAGGGTCTCTGGATCAATTTTAAGTCTCGGATTTACTTAATATTGGACAAATTATCTTTTACTTAGTTGGCCTAACCTGTTAGAGTTAAAACTTCAGGTTTTTTGTATAGTTACTGTAAGAAGTCAAGTTTAAAAGATTGTCATCCCTTCAGAGTTGTTACATACAGCTCAATAGCAGATCTTCTAGTTAAATGCTTTGTACCCAGTACCTAAACTCAGCTTTCACATACTTTATTCTATTTTTAACTGTTTTATTTTGCATTTTTCTTTATAGGTAATCAATTGTTTTCCCAAACAATGGTTTGTGAGTCTGAAAGGAGAAAGAACTATTTCTCAGTTAGAAAACTTCTGTCGATATCTTGTACACTTAGCAGATACAATTTACAGAAATAGTATTGGGTGCTCTGATGTGGAAAAAAGAAATGCAAGGTAAATGTTTGTAATTATTTAATGTGAATGATCTAGAGTGTCTTTTCTTAGTTGTTTGATTTACTATTAATAAAATGTAGAGACTTGTTTATATTTTAACTTAAAATGTTGGTATGTTCATTTAGAATAGGCAAGCACATAGTTCCTCATTATTGCAGTTTTAAATCTATTTTTAATATATTTGTGTGAAAGTATAAAGGAAAGACCTGTGGTCAGGATGGAAAAGTCTTCAGGAGAATGCATAAACCACTCTTCTTCTTTAAGAACCAGAGTACTTGAACTAGAGTACTTTGTATGCCTTGGACCTTAGTCTTTAAAGGTTCGTTGTACAGATAAATATAAGCCCTGGAAAGGATAGTCACTTAAAACCCAAAGTAGAGGGGAAAAAAAACACAAAGTAGGTTGAAAGATATATCCCAGTCTGGGGAAGGTGTGCTTATCATGAACTACTCATTTTGGGGAATAATTTGAGTATAATTTTCATCACTTGTGGTAAGGGAAGGAACGAATGAACCTTTATCCTTCCTATGGACTTTAATGTTATGGAATGTTTATGCAGTTTGAGATATAACAACTAGTACAATTGGAAAGAAGCTGTGTGATATGTTGGTTAAAATGTTTAACTGCTAATTGATAGTTTGGAGGTTCAATCCTACCAGCTGCTCAGAGGGAGAAAGGTGTAGCAAGCATTTTCATTTGAAAGTTTGACTTCATATATTCTTCCTATTCCCAAAGTTTCATTTAGTTTCATTCATACCATTAGTCATACTCATACTCCTGTACCAAAATCGTTTGTCTACTGATTTCCTTTCTTTTGTTGAAGAAACAAAACTTGTTTCTTAAGAGAAAATGTGATGTGTCATAGTAAAATTAAAAGCAAAATGGATAGCAAAGATTTCAGTGGTAAAATTTTTGGCAAGTGATTTTGGTTTATGTTTTAATTTCATCCTTAGCACTTCATTTTGTTGATTTTATTTATTGATACTTATATTTTTTCCTCAATATGTTGGGGTTTTTTTACTAAATTTTAGTCACTTTTTTAAAAAAACCTTGATTTACATACATTTGACTATTTTTAAGGGTTAACAGAAGGAACTTAACTAAGCAGTGATTTAAGCACTTGCTTTGTGCAATGCAGACAAAGTAAAAGCTACATGAGTTCTCAAATTTTACAAATTACATTACTTTCCTTAAATTTCACACTACAGTTTATAGAGGCGATGAGGCAATAATACATTAGCCTATGTGCTGCTTCTCATAAGTGATTCAAACTAGATGTTAAAACCCACCCACTGCCATTGATTCCAACTCACAGCAACACTATGTATATATCTTTACAGGAGCAAATAGCTTCTTCTTTCTCTTAAGGAGTGAATGGTGAGCTTGAACTGGCAACCTTGTGGTTAGCATCCCAATGCCTTTATGTCATTCAAAAAATGTGTTCCCCAAACCAGCAGCATCAGTATCCCCTGGGAACTTGTTAGAAATGGAAGTCTTTTTGTTAGTTTTTTTCAGAAAGAACATTTTTAAGTCCCATTCCAGACCGATTAAATCAGAATCTCTGCGGGTAGGGTCCAACAAATATGTGTTTTAACAACCCTATAGGTGATTCTGATGCACATTAAAATTTGAGGTTTACTACATAATAATGCTTCTGATAAATGATAAGGGAAAGCTTCTGATAAATGATAATGGAAGCCATGCTATTCTTCAGTGACTTTTGGAAGAGTGGGAATTATGCTGGATCTTGATTTAGTTAGTTAGTGATAAAGACACAAATATAATTGATGTCCCAGGTATATTCGAAATGAGCTAAAACACTACATTGAGGAGGAGACTGGACTCTGAGGTCATGTGGAAACAGATTGCTTTGTGGGATTTATTGGTATTAATTTTAAACAATGATCTAAATGTGTGTTTTGTTTAGTTTTTCAAATGAGTCTCCATCTTTGGGCTAGTCATTTAAACATGTACGAAGTTTCAATTTATATGGATGAATAACACGTTTTACATACTGTAGCTTGCTGCTTCTTGTTGTTAGGTGCCATTGAGTCAGTTCTGACTCAGAGATATTATGCACAACAAAATGAAACACAGTCTGGTCCTGTGTTAACCTCTCAAGCATTGTTACACTTGAGCCCATTGCTGCTGCAACATTGCCAATCCATCTTGTTGGAGTCATCCTCTGTTTCACTTCACCAAGCATGATTTCCTTCTCCAGCAACTGGTCCCTGATAATATGTCCAAAGTATGAGAGACAAAGTCTTGCCATCCTGGCTTCTTAGGAGAATTCTGACTATACTTCTTCCAACACAGATTTATATGTTATTCTGACAGTTCATGGTACTTTTAATGTGCTTCTCCAATACCATAACTCAAATGCATCAATTCTTCAAAGGTCTTCCTTATTCATTGTCCAATTTTCACATGCTTATGAGGCTATTGTGGTGCTATGGGTTAATGCGCCAGACTGAAAAGCCGTTTGAACTGCAAGATTGGCAGTTCAAGCTCACAAGCCGCTCCTAGGAAACCCTATCCAGGGTCACTATGGGTCAGAACCGACTGGATGGCACTTAACAGCAACAACAACATGAGGCTATTGGAAATACCATGCTTTGGATCAGACACATTTTAGCCCTAAAACTGACATTTGGGTTCTTGACCAGCTCTTGAAGAGGTCTTGTGCAGCAGATTTGCCTAATGCAGTACATCATTTGATTCCTTATGACTGCTACTTCCATGAGTTGAGAGTGGAACCAAGCAAAATGAAGTCTTTCACAACTTAAATCCTGTCTCCATTTATCACAAAGTTATTTATTGGTCCAGTGCTGAGGATTAATTGTTATCCTTACATTGAAGTACAAATCATATTGAAGGCTGTGGTTTTTGATCTTCAGCAGTATTTTACGTTCTCTTCACTTTGAGCAAGTAAGATTGTAAGTGTTGTCGAAACCTTGTAGAGGGTTTCTGAGGAGTGGCTAGAGAATTAGAACCGCTGATCTTTGGTTCAAACCAACCTTGTGGGCCAGTGCATTATCCCACAGCACTACACCAGGACTCCACAGATTGAATAAGTATGGTGAAAAATACAACCCTGGCGCAAACCTTTGTTTACCTGAGCTATACTGACTTTGCAAAGGCTTTTAACTGAGTGGATCATAACAAGCTATGGATAACATTGGAAAAAATGGGTATTCTAGAACACTTAATTGTGCTCGTAAGGAACTGTACATAGACCAAGATAGGCAGTCATTAGAACAGACCAAGGGGACACTGAATGGTTTAAGATCAGCAAAAGGTGATTGAATAAGTATGGTGTAAAATACAACCCTGGCACACACCTTTGTGTACTACAGGTTCCTCATGAGCACAAGTAAGTGTTCTGGAATACCCATTCTCCACAATTTTGTCTGTAGCTTATGATCCACATAGACGAAAACCTTTGCATAGCCAATAAAGCACAGGTAAACATCTTTCTGGTATATTCTCTATTTTTACTCAAGATCCATCTGAAGTCAGCATTAATATCCCTTGTCCCCGGTTCTCTTCTAAATGTGTCTTAAACCTCTGGCAGCTCCCTGTCATTGTACTATTTCACCCATTTTTAAATTACCTTTAGTAAAATTTTATTAGCATGTAGTATTAATGATATTGTACAGTGATTTCCGCATTGTTTTGAATCAACTCTCTTTGAAATGGGCACAAATATGGACGTCTTCCCATCAGTTAGCCAGGTAACTCTCTTCGAAATTCCTTGACATAGATGGGTGAGTGCCTCCAGTGCTGCATCAGTTTGTTGAAAGATTTCAATTTGTATTCAGTTAATTCCCAGAGCCTTGTTCTTTTCGCCAATGGCTTTGGTGCATGTTGGAACTTGAACTTTTTTCTTCGGTACTTTTGGCTCTTGATCATATGCTTCCTCTTGATATGGTTCAACAGTGAGCATTTCCTTTTGTTACAGTGACTGTGTATACTTTCCATCTTCTTTTGATGCTTTCTGCATTTTGTCCGTTGTTGTTAAATACTGTTGAGTTGGTTCTGACCCATTGCGACACTGAGGTTTCTGAGGAGTGGCTGATGAGCTTGAACTGCTGATCTTGCGGTTCAAGGTTCAAACCAGCTTTGCAGTCCAGCATATTAACCCACAGCACCATACCCGGACTCCATTTTGTCTATAGAATCCTTCAATATTTCAAATTGAGGCTTGAATTTTTTTTTCAATTCTTTCAGCGTGAGAACTGCTGAGTGTGTTCTTCCATTTTGGTTTTCTAACTTCAGGTCTTTGGCACATTTCTTTATAATACTTTAATGTCTCAAACTGCCCTTTGAAATTTTCTGTTCAGCTGTTGGACTTCCTCATTAATTCCATTTTCTTTAGCATCTCTATTCGGGAGAGTAATTTTCAAAGTCTCTTCTGACATCTATTTTGGTCTTTTCCTTCTTTCTTGTCTTCTTAATGACCTTTTGCTTTCTTCCTGTATGATGTTCTTGATGTCATCACACACCTCTCCTGGCCTTCAGTCACTAGCGTCTAATGCATCAAGTCAGTTCTTGAAACGATCTCTAAATTCAGGTGAGATTTGTTCAAGGTCGTGTTTTGGCTGTTGTGGACTTTTAAAATTTTTCTCCAGTTACAGCCTAAACTTGCATAGGAGCTGTTGATGATCTGTTTCAGTCTACCCCTGGCCTTGTTTTGATTGATGATAATGTAGTTTTTCCACTGTGTCTTTCTACAGATGTATTCAGTTTGATTGCTGTGTATTCCATCTAGTGAGGTCCATGTATATAGTCTTATTTTATGTTATTTTAAAAAGCATTTGCAGTGAATTAGTCATTGGTCTTTCAAAGTTTCTGCCATACAATTTCCAGGATCATTTGTATCACAAGGCCTTATTTTTCAACTATTGATCCTTTCTCTTTTTTCTTTTCCAACTTTTGCATTCCTATCACCAGTAATTATCAATCCATCTTGATTGCATGTTTAATCAATTTCAGACTAAAGTTGGTTGTTGTGGTTGTTAAGTGCCATCGAGTCGGTTCCGACCCATTAATATCATCATCGGTGACTTAGTGGTTGGTGCGCAAGTTTGGATAATAGTGATATTAACTGGTCTTCCTTTTTTTGATGTTGTTAAGTACCATCAAGTCAGTTGTCAGTTCCAACTAGGAGCAGCTGGTGAGCTTGAACTGCCAACCTTGAGGTTCAGACCAACTTTGCAGTCCAGTGCATTAACGTACAGCGCCACAGCAGGACTCTGGTCTTCCTTGTAGGCGTATGAATAATATCCTATCAAAGGCAACATTATACGTAAAATAGATCTTTAAATGTTCTTTTTGTTGATGAATGTGATGCTTATCTTCTTCGGTTTGTCATTCCCAGTGTAGTAAGGCATGATTATCAGATTCAGAATGGTAAATACCAGTCCATTTCAGCTCACTAATAGCTAGGTTATCGATCTTTTTGTGTTCATTTCATTTTTGACAACTTCCAACTTTCTTAGATTCATACTTCTACATTTCATGTTCCGATTATTAATGATGTTTACAGCTGATTCTCTTAATTTGAGTTGTTCCCTATCAGCAAATGAAGGTCCTAAAAGTTTTACTCCGTTTGCGTCATCAAGGTTAACTCTACTTTGTTTTGAGGTGGAAGCTCTTCCCCAAGCTTGAGTATCTCCCAACCTGAGAGGATCATATTCCAGCACTATATCTGACCATATTCTAGTGCTATTCATGTTTCACTATTGACTGTTCTGGTGCAGACAGTACTCCACTGCTATTCATAAGGTTTTCAGTGGCTTAACATTCAGAAGTAGTCCATTTCTCTTTCTTCCTACATTGTCTTAGTGTGGAAGCTCAGGTGAAACCTGTCCACCATTGGTGACTCTGCTGGTATTTAAAATACTAGTGGCATAGCTTCCAGAATCACAGCAACACGCAAGCCACTGCAGTATGACAAACTGACAGACAAATGGTGGGTAGATTACTCACGTTTATTGTTTCCCCCTCTTTGATGTAAATGTATTTGGAATGAATTAACTGTACAGTTTCTAAAATAGTCATAAAGTTAATAGCAAAATTTTCCTGAAAGCCTTTTGTATTAATTAATGAGATGTTATTCTTTTCTTTCCTAGGGAAAATATAAAACAGATAATAAAACTCCTTGCAAGTGTTCGAGCTCTGGATCATGCTATATCTGTTGCAACTGACCACAATGTCAAAGAATTTAAGACTTTGATTGAAGGAAAATAGATTGATGTGGCTATTTGCTAGAATACCATTCCCAATGTATAAATTTTGTATATATGTAAAGTTTCTTAAATTGTAAAATAATGATTCTTGTTTTAATACAGAGTATTATTATATTCAATACTGTGTCCTTACATGCGATTTCTTTAGAATGAAAGAAATTCAGATTATTTCTAGGAGTCCATGAATTTTTCCTTTACTCCTGTCATACTTTGTTTACAGAAGCATTTGTATGGTCATTCAAATTAGCCCTTGCAGTTCATTGTCCTCTGTAAACAATGTGTGCCATGTAAATTGTGTAATTATGCATATATGTATTTATACCACCTGGAGTTAACTTTCACACTGGACATTGGTGTTTTTCTACAGAGTAAATCTTTTAACAGCAGAAAATTAATAGCAAATTGTCTTAGGAAAATTAGTACACATTGCAACAAAAGGGCTGGCAAGTGACTAAATGTTCATCACCTTCTGGTTAGCAGTTGCTATCAGAGTAGCTGTGCTGCCTTAAAATTGAGAGTTGAGTTGTGGACTCAGTCATCAGGTGAATGGGAAACTTTGTTCCTTGAATTGGCATTATAGTCATTTGTGGCAATTTAATGTGAACTCTAAATAATATATGCAAAATAGTTCAGGAGGAACATAGGTTAACTTTTAAAAATAATTCCACAATTTAACTGCATGGTTTTGGGCTGACCATCCTGTCTCATTCTTGGTTTTACTCCCTGGCCAGCTTACAAATACATGCTTTTAAATTCTAGTAGTCTTGACATATTTAACATCCCACATATGTGAGTTATATATGCAATAAAAAAACATATGCCTTGCTGAGTAGCTGCCCCCAGGCAATTTAATATCCCATGGTCTTCTATACTGTTTATACCACATTTTAAATATTCAGAGAACTTGTTTTAAAGTTTAGCCTTTCTGATCTGTGATTTTCAAAAGAGAAACTTTTTGGAAATTAAGGACTATTGTTTGATAATTATATATAATTCTGCTTTAGCCAAGCATTAAATTAATTTTTAAGTAATCCTTTGTTGCATTTTGCTGGTGACTTTTTATAGGTAGAGTATTTCTTTTACTCTAATACCCTGTGTCCATATGTACCCTTTGTGAAGTTCGAAAAGTGTCATGCATTTTAATTGCTTTCAGTTTTATCTGTATTATAGGAACATTGTTTCTATATACTCATTTTAGATTTTTTTTCTTTTTCTTTTTTTGTCATGCCCTATTGGCCTAGTAAATAGAATTAAAATCAGAACAGGGTTTTCAACTTCAATGGAGAAAACGTGTAACATTCACAGCATTTGGACCTTAAACTGTAGTTTTCCAAATCCAATGGGCTGATGATTACTTTTCCTATATTTACTTTTAAGAACTCTTAGAATAAACTCAGAATTTTTATCATGGGTCTTAACGTAAGGTGAATTTAGCATAGAACAAGTCACAAAACAAATGGCTGTGGTGTCCCAATCAGAGAAATGTTCATTCCTGAAATAGCTAAAGGGTATTATTTGTTATGTTGGGAATTCCCATAGGATTATCCTGGTGTAGTGCTATAAAATAAGCACTGGATCGCTAACCACAAGGTCTGAGGGCCAGGCCCATCAGTAGATCCTTGGAAACTCTATTCAGGGTCACTATGAGTCAGAATTGACTTGATGGCACTATACAACAATGAGATAATTGGTTAAATGTTAACAATGAGGAAAAGAAGGTAAAAGTTATTTTTATCTTTTCATTTTTTCTTTGGGGGCAGCCCTCTAAATTATTTCCATTTTATAAAAAATGCAGTACCTTGTTGTTGTTAAGTGCCCTCAAGTCAGTTCCAACCCATAGTGACCCCACATAGTGTTTCTGAGGAGCTTCTAGTGAGCTTGAACCACTGATCTTGCAGTTCAAATGGCTGTGCAGTCTGACGCATTAACCCACAGCACCACGCCAGGAGTCATGTTCAACTAGCAGTTGTTGAATGAATCCACTTAGAAGAAAATTAAGTGTAAGTTATAGCTACAGCTACATAGCATGTTCTTTTCACTAAATAGGTTTCAGGAGTCCTGGTGTGGTGTTGTAGGTTAATGTGCCAGACTGCAAAGCCATTTGAATTGCAAAGTTAAGGATAAGGGTCCTAATGTTAGTACAGATCTCTGAAGTACAGACCAAAATGTGGAGGTGAAGCAGGGAAAGGGAAGGATCTGGAAAAGTCTGGCATGCTTTAGAACCTGTGGAGGAAATTCAGAAAGTTTGAGACCAGTGCAATTCTAAGAAAGGTTCAGCAAGGCTGATGCAGACCTTAACCCAAAATTGCCCTTCAAAGGAGTCCTGTTAACTCCCAGGAGTGGGCCTAGTTTAGTAATCCTTGGTTACTAAAGGAGTTACTCAAGGGGGCAACTATGGGGGCTTTTGCCCTGCAAGTTCCCTGAGTCTTCGTTGATTTTAGCCATATTTACTTGTAGGGGGTAACCTCTGTAACATTCAAAATTGGCCCAAAACTGCATAAATCTCATAGCAAGTAACTTCCTTACTAGAATATGTGAAATTAGGGAAGTTGGTGTTTTGTTTTATTTATTTATTTATTTTTGCCCATCTAGAGACTTTTATTCAGGGAGAGGAAAGTAACCTCTGCCAGAGAGAGAAGGCAGAAGGCAGAAGGGAAGAGAGGAAGAAGAAGAGAGTCAACGGGAAGGGAGGGGACTTATATAGGTTCAACAGGAAGGGAGTGGTCATTGCTGGGGTGATTTAACTCTGGCCTAAGGAGCTCTGGTAGCGTAGTGGTTACGAATCGGGCTGCGAACCTTAAGGTCAGCGGTTCGAAACTACCAGCTGCTCCGCGGGAGAAAGATGAGGCTTTCTACTCCCGTAAAGATTTATACCCTCGGAAACCCTATACAGGGTCGCTATGGGTCGGAACCGACTTGATGGCACATAACAACAACAACAACAATCAAAAGCCATGTTGTCTTTTAAACTACGCACCTTGTAGCTTAGGGCGGGGAAACAGACAAAATGGAGTTGGAGGGAGGGGAGAGGGAAGAACCGGAAGGTATTGTAACATTTCCCCCTCTGGTAAAATAAGAAAAATGAATGGCCGTCTCTATGATCCATGCCCATGGGAGAAGGGACGAAGGTCACTTTTCTGTAGCTACTTCCTACTGGCATTGAGGCGACGAGGCTGTCTTTGGTCTTTGGGCTAGGACCATGGTCGGCGATGGCTTTGTCGTTGTTGGCAGTGTTGTCAGTAACCATTGGGCTCTTCAATGGGATACCAAGAAGCGATGGAACCAGGTCAGCAGCTGGACTGGGCTTAGGCCCCAGTTCTAGGTCTTCGGAACCTGAGCCAGAGGGCTGAAGAATAGTCTTGACAGTGATGGGTGCTGAGAAGGTGTCAGGGAAGATGATCGCGGGCACTGGGAGGGCATGTTGAAATGAGCGGGTTAGGGCACCAGGAGAATCGGGGTCCTGGGCCTTCCGATGTTAAATCGGGGGCCTCAACCATCCCGCTTCTGACACCAATGAAAGGGAAAAAACAACCTGGCGCCACTCATCAACCACACTTCACACCAAACAGCCCATCTAGAGACTTTTATTCAGGGTGAGGAAGGTGACCTCTACCGAGAGAGAAGGCAGGAGGCGGAAGGGAAGAGAGGAAGAAGAAATAGCTGTTTTATTTTTAATTGTTGGTTTTTAAAGCTAGTTTCACTTAAGTTCATGGTGTAAGCTTCCATTGTCTCTTATTTCATTTTTTCAAATTTTCAGAAGCCACTTTGTATAATTCAATGAATTTTGACTAATGCCCAATTTTAAATGCTAATTTCCCTTGGAGTCACAAAACCATAAAAAATGGTACAAAAGTGACAACGTTGTAGGTGGTACTTTATGGTTACAAAGGCTAAGGAGCTCTGCTAGCATAGTGGTTACTAATCAGACTGCGGACCGCAAGGTTAGCAGTTTGAAACTACCAGCTGCTCCACGGGAGAAAGATGAGGCTTTCTGCTCCCGTGAAGATTTATAGCCTCGGAAACCCTGTTAAGGGTCGCTGTGGGTTGGAACCGACTCGACGGCAATTAACAACATTTTCATTTCTAACATGGTAATATTCATAGAGTGTTCCAACCTTGCAGGGCAAAGTGAAACTGACTCCATAGGACTTCCAAGGCTATCGTCTCAGACTGCCACATCTCCTCACCCTCCGTAGATAGCTGCCAAGCACTTTAACCACTGCACCACCAGAGCTTGCTAGGAGTTAGAACTGACTATGGCACCTGGTTTTAAAGAATTGTTGTTGACTCATTGCAGCATTTTGAACTGCTACATTAAGTAAAAGGAAATGAGCAAAATTAAACACTAGAACTTATATACTTAGAACAGTAAGCTCTTTATATTTGGGAGGTGTTATTGTGGTGCCATAAGGAGTCTGGTAGCGTAGTGGTTATGAATCGGGCTGCTAATCTCACAGTCAGCAGTTCGAAACTACCAGCTGTTCCGCGGGAGAAAAATGAGGATTTCTGGCCCCGTAAAGATTTACAGCCTCATCGCTGTGAGTCGGAACTGACTCCACGGCACTTAACAACAACAACACTGTGGTGCTGTGGGTTAATGCGCTGGACTGCAATGTCAGTTTGAACTGCAAGGTCAGTGGTTCAAGTTCACTAGCCACTCCTTAGAAACCATATAAAGGGTCACTATGAGTCAGAACCTACTCAACAGCACTTAACAATAATACTTGCATGGAGTCCTGATGTAGTACTGTAGGATAAACACTGGTCTGCTGACCAAAATGTCAGCACTTCAAACTCACCAGCTGCTCCTCAGAAACCCTACATAGAATCAGTATGAATCAGAACCCACTCTATGACACTTAACAACAATGGTACTTTCATAGGGTACATAGTGGTGCACTGTAGGATAAACAAAGTTTGAGATTCAAGCCCACCAGCCACTCCAAGGGAGAAAGATGAGGCTTTCTGCTCCCATAAAGATTTACAGCCTGGAGAACCTATAGGGTCTCTATGAGTCAGAACTATCTTGACAGCACTTAGCAGCAATATATTTTCATAAGGAGCCCTGGTGGCACTGGGTTAGGCATTGGGCTGCTAACTGCAAGATCAGTGGTTCAAATCCACCAGCCACTCTGCAGGAGAAAGATGAGGCTGCTCATAGCGTCACTAAGTGGGAATTGTCTCTGTGGCATGTGTTGTTTTTTTATACTTTCATAAGAGGATCCCTGGTGGAACAATGGTTAAGTGCTCAGCTGCTAACTGAAAAGTTGGTGGTTCTAATCTATCTACATGCTAATCCATGGGAGAAAGATTTGACAATCTTCTTCTATAAAGACTACAGCCTAGAAAACCCTATGGGACCATTATCAGTCACATGTCATGATGAGTTGGAATTGACTCTACGGCATCTATCAGCATACTTGCACAAAGCTGTCTTGCCCCAAATATTTAGGAGACTGCCCTCTGGAACTGAAATGATAGAACTACTGAGAGCAAGCAGGTTGGGAACATCCACCACAGGCAGACAAATAGGAATTTGTGGTAGTATGTAGCACAGACCAATCCCCATCATGCTACTGAACCTCTGGGACCCAGTAAAAAAAAATTTTAAGTGTGAATTGAGGGCAGAGCATCAGTTTTACATTCAATTAATCATATACGTTGTTTCATTACAATGATTATAATCCCTTCCATGTACCATCAGCTAACAGTATTTCTCTCTATTCTCTCTATTCATTTTAGCTTTTTAAAAAACATTCATGCATATATAATTTAAGCCACCAAAGGGCACATTTTGCAAGTCTGCCTCCTGGCCGCCAGCTCTCAGTCCCTCTCTTACCAGAGTCCTCAGATGTTCCCTCTCTCTATGTGGGAACCAGTAATTTATACTGATGTTCTTCCAGTCATTGTTAGCTATAAGCCAAAATTTAGATGTTAGAATCATCTAGTACAATGGGAATACCTAGCACAGCATTTCTCAAAATGTATACTATAGCCCACTAGTTCTATGCTGTTGCTTAAAATACTATT